ACTGGTGCTGATCCAGGTCAGGATGCCCTTGTCCTTCTTGACCATCTGGGCTCTCTGCTCCTTGACCATCACCCTGTGCCTTCCTCTGGCTCTGCTGTCAGACGATGCTTCTCAGCCGGGAACAGGAGCTGTGCCATGATCTTGGCATGCTCCAGCCTCCTGGGTGGCTGCAGTGGTGTCACAGTTTTGTTCCTTTCCTTGTGACAGGACTAGATGGCTCCTGGAACAGGACATCCCTGGGGGTGGCACCTCTTCTGTGCAGGCGCTTTGTCTCCTGGTACATTGGGAGCAGCAGCAACGCTGACCTCCACAAATCAGCATGTCCATCCTTTTCAGCGTTGCTTCCCGTGCCCAGAGATCAGCTCGGGGTTAATCAGCACAACCAATTATTTATTTGCCTTTTTTGTTTGCTTGCAGTGGACTCAGACTTGAAAGAGAAGGTTCCTGATCTCACGTGTTGTACTGTGGTGCGTCAGCTCCTTCCCATTACTCTGGTCCCCAACGTAGTCACCTTCTTCCTCCATAATGTTCTCCCCGTCCTTAACAGTGGCTTGACACCTTCACCACATTTCATTTCTTATCCTTCTTACGAGGATTTCACTTTGTAACCTCCACCGACCTCAAGATCAACGTTTGCAAGTAGGTTCTGGGCAAGCTCATTCCCAGTGAGCCCATCTCCTGTTAGCTCCCAGGGAACACCAGCTCCCTGTTAACCACGTAGGTTTTACTCATTTTGAGTTTCATAAGAACCTCTTGGAAGAGGAGATGTTTCATCAAACCCATCTCCCAGCCATGAATGGTGCACTGCTGCCTGATTATTCATGCCCGCTGCCTCTTTACATGAAAATAATACTTGAGAACTGGTTTACCTCCCATTTTTTGGTCACCTAAGCCCTTGTCTGAGCAAAGGAAAATGCCAGATGCTCGTGACCAGGATGAAAAATCTCCCGTCTGATATATACGGAGGGATTAAATAACACGGTGGAAAATTGCGACTAATCTCTCGGCGTTGGGCGCAGAAGGATGCTGGCATCTCCCTCTGAGACAGGACCATGCAGTAGGCTGCAGAGATATTTCACAGGCCTGGTCCTCACACGGAGATGCTACTAAGGAGGCATCAGGAAGGAAAAGGAAGGATTTTTTTTGCCATTCTGTGGGTTTTGGGGTTTTTTTTCCCCTGTGTTAAAATATTGGTGGTGTTTTTCCCTCTAGAGGGCAGAGGAGGAAAGAGAGAGAATGGGAAGGGAGAGGAACACGACAGCAGGAGGTTTGGTTAGATACGTGCCAAGAGTGAATAGCTGGGAATGGTGTGGTCTTGAGACACATTGCCCAGCCAGGGTGCTCATGGGTTGGGATGAAAACGCAGATGTGTAGTAGTTGGGACACCAACCCCGTTCTCCTCGGATCAGATGGATATTTCCTGGTCATTGAAGAACTGGCTTTTGAATTTCCCAGTGCCACATTCCCACTCAAAGGGGTGAATTTTGGTTTGCTGGGTGGGTGCCCTGGGTCTTTTGAAGTCCCAGTTCAGCCATCGGTCTTTGACCAGGCAGCTCCACTGACTCCCTGATCCTGCAGCCACCTGCATTTTGGTTGGTGCAGGTGTGGGCTAGAACATGGCTGTGCCACCTTGGACACTTGTGTCTGCTCCCACGGTGACTTTTGCATAAGCTGGTGGCAAAGCCATGGCAGAGCCATGGGCTGTTCCTGGGCTCATGCCCAGCACGGTCCCTACAGCGAGTGGGCAGCCCTGTCTGCACCCATGAAGGTGCTCAGCTCCTGACATCTCCCTGCAGCTCCTCCAGCTGTGGGTTTCTCCTGCCCTGCTGCTCTGCAGTGTCCAGAGAAGAGGAGACTGAGAGGAGATCTCCTGGGGGTCTAGAACTTCCTCCCAAGGGGCAGAGGAGGGGCAGGCGCTGATCTCTTCTCTCTGGCCACCAACGAATGCCAGGAGCAGAGGAAATGGCAGGAAGATGTGGCAGGGGAGGGTGAGGTTGGCCATGAGGAAAAGGTTCTTGAGGCAGAGGGTGGTGGAGCACTGGAACAGGCTCCCCAGGGAGGTGCTGATGGCACCAAGCCTGACAAGATTGCCGCAGCCTTTGGCCAAGGCCCTGAGGGACATGGTGTGAGTGTTGGGCTTGTCCTGTGCAGGGACAGGAGTTGGACTCCATCGTCCTTGTGGGTCCTTCCAACTCACAATATCTTCTATGATTCTATGATTCTATGAATCCCGTGTCGAGGAACCTGCCAAAAACCTTTCCCCCTCTCTGTCCCCAGGTGATACAGCCGTGGTGCTGTCTCCTTCTGCGCCCAGGCTGCCCTCCCAGCTAACACACATCTCCTGTCCCCTGGTAGGAAATGGAGTCGAAGGTCTCCGAAGGCGGCCTGAACGTCACCCTCACCATCCGGCTGCTGATGCACGGCAAGGTAAGGGGCTCACACCTCCACTCGTGTCCGTGTCCAACCTGGGGTTCCCAGGGGCAGGTTTCCTCCTGCTGATGGTGAGGGTGGTGTGGTGGCACAGCGCTCCTGTCCCCTCTCATGCCTGCTCCCACCCTGTCCTTCTGCTGAGGACAGTGTGCACCGGGTTTTTGCTTCATTATGGGGTTGGGCTGGGTTGTCTTTGCATCTTCTGATGTCTTCTCCTTTGTGTTTGTCTTTTTTTCAATAGGAGGTCGGAAGCATCATTGGAAAGGTAACAACATCTTTTAAAGGTGTATTTAATGCTCTTGCCTGCACCATTTGCTGCCCCTGGTGTGGTAGATGCCCATCACCTCTTCCTTGTAATGTCCCTTCAATGTTTGATGTGCGTGAGCGTGTCGCTGGGTTTGTGGAACAGCAATGATGGGACATCCACAGAGGGATCAAAGACCATTCTACCCCCCAACAAAACCAACCACCAAACTGATCTAGTGCTGTTTCCAGCTGCTTCACTGTGGTGGTGAAATAGGTGTTTATGATCACGGTGCCCTGACACGTTCATTAAATAAATTCATTAAGTGAGATTAAGAAATGTCCTGAAAACCCATCTAAATCTTAGAATCCTAGAATCATTTAGGTTGGAAAAAACCTTTAAGATCATCAAGTCTAAACCCAATTCCACCTCTAAACCATGTCCCAGACCTTTATCAAGTCCAACCATAAACCCAACACTACCAATTCCACCTCTAACCCATGTCCCTGAGCACCTCGTCTGCCCGTCTGTTAAATCCCACCAGGAAAGGTGACTCCAACCACCTCCCTGGGCAGCCCCTTCCAATGCCTGACTGCCCTTTGGGTGAAGGAATTTTTCCTCACATCCAATGTAAACCTCCCCTGGTGCAACTTCAGCACCTCCCCCTGAGGACACAGGATGCCATTTAGCTCATGCAGAAAAGCTTCATGAGATGCTCTGCTCCCTGGTGCTTACCATGGTGGGTTGGAAAGTCCTGGCTATACAGGATTGGGTTTTTTGATGCTTTTCAAAAGCAGGTTTGTGTTAGTGAAGATTTGGAGCACAAACACCTTTTTTTATGTGCTTGCACCTTATTTTTCCATCAGCCTGTCCAACCTTGGAAAGATTCACTGTTGTACCTGCTTTATATCTGGATATAAAGGTATTAGATCTCTCTAGAGGTACTAGGTAACTGCCCTTTGAAGGCACACTCTGAAGTGCCAACTTTCCTCAACATCTGCTCAGTTCCTGAGTTTTTTTTCCATGCATTTTTCCTCCTAATGGAAAATGTAGAAACGGAGGCAGAAGCTGCAGTTGGTTCATCTGTTGTGTCTACAGAGGTTACGATGGGGCTTACAGCCTCAGCTCTCCAGCCTGCCCATCACGTGGGGATGGAGGACCAGGCAGTGCAGAGCTGCCCAGATGTTTGACTGGGTATTAGAAATGGGTGTTTGGAGGGGTTGCTTTGAAGAAGTCTTTGATATTTTTTTTTTTAACAATAGCTTGTGTTTCTGATTCTTATTTCAGAAAGGAGAGACCGTGAAGAAGATGCGTGAGGAGGTGAGCAACCCTGCTCTTTAAAATAGGAGGAAGGGAGAGGAGTGGGAAGGGCTGTTGGGCTGTCCCACCCGTGCAGTAACTCCTGGGACCAGGACACACAAGCTGGCTGTACCCAGGGCTCTTTGATGCACTTTTCTCACTCAGTATTCAAACTCTGGTAACATTTGATGGGAGTTTTCCAAAGCCAAGAATTTGCTCTTAATGAAACAGTGAAAGGAAGTTACTCCTAAGATGCTTCAGTTTGCCCCAGGTCTTTGTGCCTGCAGCTACCAAGAAGCTTTTAGAAGCAATGACCCCACCAGCTGGTCTTGCCTTGTTCACATGGGTTGGCATGTCAGTAAAAGACCCGAGGTGGATGCTTGGAAACCCTTGCTGAGGATTGGGGTGCAGCAGCACTGGAAGTACCACAGGAGGAAAAAGTGGGAGTTTTTAAGGTTAGATGAGGTGTAGAGAGGCTGGCAGAGGTAATGACCAGGAACCAAGTGAACAATGAACTTGCTGGTCTCCTGGGGCTCTTTGAGCTTCTGCTGTTGGGTGTTGAACCTTCCCAAGCTGGGACAGGATCCAAACTGGAGATTCCCAGGGGCTGCATCTCCACTGGTTCCTTGGCTGTGGTTATTCCAGGGCTGCCCTTCTCTTTCCAGAGTGGAGCGAGGATCAACATCTCGGAGGGGAACTGCCCCGAGCGAATTGTGACCATCACCGGCCCCACTGATGCCATCTTCAAGGCTTTCGCCATGATTGCCTACAAATTTGAGGAGGTGAGCAACGTGAGTCCTTTACCTCAGGAGGGCAGAGTAAAATGGTCTGCATTCAGATCCTTGGGTGGCCCGCTGGCCAAGCAGAGCTCCAACATGCCCACTACTGGGGCCAGCAGTGCAGATGGGCCTGGGTACCTCCAACCCTGGTTGGACTTGCTTAACTGGTACATGATCTCAGCACAAAACCTTCCAGACATCTCTAACTAACCAAGAACTGAGCTTCAGTGGAGTGTCCCAGAGGTCTCACACTTAATTAACTGCAGGGATGTGCAGTGATGCAGCTGCAGATCTGGGGGACATGACCCTTCTTCTCTGACCTAGGGCATTTGGGTTGGCCTGGATGGCAAGCACCTGGTTGGGTACCAAGGGCTGATGTGTTGCATTCTTGCTTCCCAAGGACATAACCAACTCAATGAGCAACAGCACTGCTACCAGCAAACCTCCGGTGACGCTGAGACTGGTCGTGCCGGCGAGTCAGTGCGGCTCGCTGATCGGCAAAGGAGGCTCCAAGATCAAGGAAATCAGGGAGGTAAGACAGACCTGGTTTGGTTATTGGGTGTAATCACAGCTCTGACCAAGGAGGAGCTGCCTTGGAAAGAGGGATCCTTATGCTGTGAGGATCACTCATCACGTTGCTTCCCAGGATGGTCCTGCTGATGTAGGAGCAGCATCCCGTGGGACCTTGCCGGCGCGGGGCAGCGCAGCTCTTGTGACGTGTGAGCTGGCTGCAAGGAAAGGCTTTCAGCTGTGGGATCTCTCCTCTTCTCTCTTTCTTTCTGTCTCCAGTCAACAGGTGCTCAGGTTCAAGTGGCGGGGGACATGCTGCCCAACTCCACGGAGCGGGCGGTGACAATCTCGGGGACACCCGACGCAATTATCCAGTGTGTCAAACAGATCTGTGTGGTGATGCTGGAGGTACAGTCTGTAACAAAGGGGGTAAAGTACGTAGGAAAAAAAACCCAAAACCCAAACCCCAGCTGGCACCACAACGGCGCTGGGAGCTGTGGAGCGTGTCTCTCATCCCCTTCTCCACGCGTTGTTGGACCACTCATCTCCTGGTACCTCCGTTTGAAACCCACCCACTGTGTTTTCCTCACCGTTTGCTGACGTTGTTTCTAGAGTCCCACACTGGAAACCTGCCTGGTCAGGTGCCCCAAAGGAGATGGTTTTTGTCCTACCACAGGAGAGAGGGGGAGGAGGCCAGGTGGGCTGGGACAGCCGTAGACTGGTGTCCCAGCAGCACTGAGGGAGCCATGGGAAGGGGACAGGGGCTGCAGCCCCTCCACCAAGCACCTGGCCTCCTTTCGTGGGGCTCACAGTGCCCTGTGAGGACCACAGCAGGGAGGAGGAGGAGGCCAGGGCATCCCCTATGCTGGGGAAGCCAAGCAAGGGCAGTGGGACAGGTAGTGAGGAAGGCTGGTGGAGAGCAGGGCCTGTAGAGCGCGTGGACGTGTGTCCAGGGTGCCGTTTTCTGGGAGAAATGCTGACGAGCACAGCTTGGAGAACTCTGCTGTGGAGACATGCTGCTGTACCAATGGCTTATTGCCAGGGATGACCATAGCCACATGCCCCACGTCCACACCTGCCATCTCAGATGGGAGAAGCTCCAGGAGGAAACCCCTCGAGATACAGGACGGTGACACCCTCCACTCCTGGTGCCTCCCAGAGATGGACGGCCACAGACCCACCTCAGGCCCCTCTGCCTCCTCTGCCTCCTCATGGCCGGGAGGAACACATTTGCAGCTGCAAGAGCTTCAGATGAAGATGCCAAGGCTTGGTGGAGATGAAGCAAAACCAAACATAAGCAGTTTGGCAGCAGCACAGCTAAGGAGGCATCACCATAAGTCACATTAGCCTGGTGATGATGCTGGTGGTGATGCTCAGGTTCTGCTGCCAGAGGAGTGTGATTTCAGCTGCATGGTGACTCCAGGTTGTGCTCTGGACTACGGCAGAGGTGGTTCCCAGGTGATGCTTGCAGGTCTGTTGTGAAGTCTTTGGTGGCTGCTGTTCTCACCAACCAAAGGAAAGGTTGCTGCTCCTCTGTGTGGCTACAAGTGGACATCTAGAAGAACATACAGAAAATATTATTTCCATGAGATAGCAGAATTTATGTTGCCTGTCTTTGCATAGCAGTAGCTGAGTCGTTTCACTTCAGGTAGAACCAGGAGACTTTTATCTGAGATCTCTCCTGATCCCTAGAAACCTCCAGAATCTCTTCTATGGCCTGTTAGTTATGTTCAAGAGAAAACCAGCAGAGGTAACTTGGGTGAGAAGATCCCTGTGGGATGCATCACTACAGCTTGATGTGGATCACTACAGCTTCTCAGACCTATCCAGGTACTGGTCAGGCCACATCAGGGAGGAGCTAGATGTCCTGGTCAGTGGGAATGGAGCTGCTGGAGAAGGAGGGCTGGGAGTGCCCATGGGTGCCTCTGCTGCTGATGTCCACCTGGCTGCTCACATGGACTGCTACCACCATGCAGCTCTATGATAAGATCTCTGGAAACGCTGATGTTGTCACCTGAGAGAGGTTTCCAGCCTCTGGCTCCTCCAGAGCTCAGCACCCTGGCCAAAGTGATCATTGCCACTTGTCCCACCAGGGCATGGGATGTCTTGACCACCATGACGGTGCCTTGCAGCATCTGCTGCAAGGCCACCCATGTCCCAGCTTGGATGATGATAGACCAAGTCCTGAAGGTGACCCTGTTCCAGCTGTGAAGAAGATGAGAGGGGTCAAAGAGCTTGAGCATCGTGCCAGGTTGCTCAGATGAGCTGCTCACTCCTTCTGATGCCCACACTCACGATGCTGTGCCACAGCTCCTGGTGCTCGGCGAGGCTGCTGTGACTCCGGGGTGGGCTGTCAACCTGCAAGAGCTCTTGGGCTGCAGAGAAAGCTGCTGCACAAGGAGGCTCCTGACAGCCAGGGATGAAAAGCCTGGTCCATGGGTGTACCTCCCCATCTTGCTGCACCTTGAGGGTCTTCTTGGGGTGTTTTGAGGAAGGTGTTGCTGCCTTCTAGCATCACACTTGAGTCTAGACCAGGAGATGTAATTTGTGGAGAACAGAGCGAAGGTGAGGGAGATAGCGGAGGTCCAAGAAGTGATTTAGGATCTTGTGCCTCAGCAGGGGATCTCCTGTACCCCAGGTTGTCCTTGTTGTCCATGGTTGTCCCCTCCGTGTCCTCCCGTCCAGAAACGCGGTTCGCCTGGTGCGGGTGTTGCTGGTGGCGGCCCCGGGGGCCGTGCTCCGTCGGGTGCTTTCTAACGCTCTTTTTGCCGCCGTTTCAGGAAAGCTGTTCTAATGTTCTCTCTCCCTCTCCTTGTCCCTTTTCCTAGTCCCCACCAAAAGGTGCCACCATTCCCTACCGCCCAAAGCCCGCCTCCACCCCTGTCATTTTTGCAGGTGGTCAGGTAAGAGCCGACCCGCTTGCAGCCTCCACTGCCAACCTCAGCCTTTTACTGCAGCACCAGCCGCTGCCCGTTAGTGCACTCAGGTTTCTTGCCTTCTGACTTGCATGGTGTCATCCCATCCGTTGTGTCCCATGGCAAGTGGACTGAAAGCTCTTTGCAGAACTGCTGGTAGTTTGGAAGCCCAGGCAGATGGCTTTAGCTCCTGTTGATGGTTGTGGGAGGATTCAGGAAAGGGATATCCCAGGGGACCAAGGTGTTAGCTCTGCCTGGGGCTCGTGCACTGAGAAAAGGCTGGAGATGAGAGCATGGAGGAGTTCATGTGGCCTGGGGAATGATTGAATTGTTGAGGTTGGAAAAGACCTTTAAGATCATGAAGTCCAACTATTAACCTAACACTGCCAAGTCCACCACTAATCTGTTTCCCTTGGGGGACGATTGAATCACTGAGGTTGGAAAAGACCCTTCAGATCCTGAAGTCCAACTATTAACCTAACACTACCAAGTCCACCACTAAGCTGTGTCCCCTGGGGAATAATTGAATCATTGAGGTTGGAAAAGACCTTTAAGATCATGAAGTCCATCTATTAACCTAACACTGCCAAATCCACCACTAAGCTGTGTCCCCTGAGGAATAATTGAATCATTAAGGTTGGAAAAGAC